CCTGCTGAGATAAGCACAGCCTTTGCTCTAGGAAGATGGGTGGGGAAACAGGTCAGTAGTACAAGTACAGCAGGAGTGGGAAGTACAGAGCAGGGCAGAAAACATGCATGCCATTCATACTTTGTGGAGAACAGTCTCTCACAAATGGGGGATCCAGGTGCAAACAGATTTAGAAAAAGACTGCACTGAACATCAGCATTTACAACAAACAGAAAAGGTGTGCTCCATCACGGAGGAAAATATGAATAACGTTATACAGGAATATGGAAAAATATTCATTCTTTAATCCCATGTGGGTGCACCCAAAAAAAAGGACAATTGCCCATTTTCACCAAAATCATGAGGTCAAAGGCCAGCAATTATGTATTGCCCCACCAATGTCTCAGAGATATTTTCCATTAAGATTTTTAAAGCATATTCAGAACGAGACAAAATTTTAATAGAGTACAATAAGTGACTCATATTTCAGTTGTTGAGCATCATTTTGGATACAATAAAAACACAGTAACAGAAGTAACATTCGTCTCTTATCTTCTTGCTAAGGGGTGAAAAGCATCCTGGAACCATAATTTAATTTGAAGAAATTTGCAGAAGTTACGCACACAAACCTTTTAACTTCCTTTCCATCAAAATAAAAAAATCCACACTCTAAGAATTTCTGGACTTGAGGTTTAAGCACACTGTGTAGTTTTTCTGCCTTTCCACCTTTAACCATTTGATGATAGTCAAAGTTCACCATTTTGATATCAGCCGAATGTTCAGATGCTTTCAAATGGCTCTGACATTGTAAAAAGAGAAGAAAAAGAAGTATAAATATACCAATATCTGAATATATACTACTATAAGCTAAATAAGAGGCCACAAATATTTTTAAAGCTGTCTTATTAGCTATCTTGTTTATTGCATGCTTTCCTTAGGTAAAATGAAACCATTTTTATCACCACTGTTCAACAAATCACTCAGAACTGATTAATATTTCGCCTGTGTTTTTAATTTTTCCTGTCACAATCAAAGCCAGTTTATTCCTTACTATACTAGGGGTCACCAAGACAGTCTACAGCCTCTTCTACTGTTAAAATGCTTTGATTTGCAAAGAGCTGTTTCAGTGGAAACCCCTTTCACTAACAGTCACCATTTAGACATACCTGCCAGCAACGGGGACTGATTAAACACTCCCTAAACTACTACTGAAAAAAACAGAGCAATTATTTAGGTTGCTGTGGAGGGTGGCTTGAGCAAAACTTTCCTAATATTCCCTGAAAAATCTTGAAGTGCTTACACAATCTTTGTTGGCAAAGCTATGATCTGCATTGGGCATTGATACACATCTGGGAGCACTAATGACTCCTAACAGGATAGCTGGGTACAGAAAAGATCCTAGTGAATGGCCTAAGATATTCAACCATTACAATACAAAGGCAAAAGGAAATAACAGATGGCTATTGACATGTTCTCTGGCTTCAGACAGAACTTCTCAAATTGTCAGTATTTAAGGACTACAATGTCACAGTTATTTATAACCTAACAAGTGGGAATTCATGGAAATGGCCACTTCTAGTTAACATCTTCTGAACAAACATTTCTATTTAATCTTGAAACAGCTTTTATGTTTAAATTGATAAATTAATTTGTGATTTTTTAAAAAAATATTAAGGAATATATCCAAGAATTCCAAAGGAAAGATTTTTAAAAGAAACATCACAGTATTAAATACCACAAAGTATCATTTATTTATTCACCAATTTTATAGTGCAAAAAAAGATTTGTTTTTTTAATAAGCTACTAATAAGCATGAAATATGAAAATAACTGAAAATCCCTCAACATTGTCTATGTTGCTGTTATAATTTTTCAGTAAAGTAACCAATCTGAACATAATCAAACACTAATTGTATATAGAGCTTTTAAAAATTCATTTCACGTTATGTATCTTAAGCAGTGTTTTTACAATAAATACAATTTTAACTGCAAGTGGTAGTCGCTCCAGAGCATAGCATACCCATTTCATTTTTCAAAGGCTATATAAAAGCTTCATTGCAAACAGTCAAATTCCAAGGATATGCACAGTGAGAGAACTGTCATACTCACCTGAAAAGCTTTGCTGAGCATGTGTTCCCCTTCTTTTGCCCCAAGTAAATTTACAATAATTTGCTTGCCGTATAAATTTTTAAGAGTTTGGAAATGCCTGTTAACAGAAGAAAAATTCCACACTCACCTTCTGGTATGCACAAAACTAACATGAACACCTGTAACACTGACTGAGATGCTGCAGAAATGTACTGGGTACTCCAATAACTCTGCAAGCCTTTTATTATGTCATGTCCAAATAAATCAATATAACTCAATAATAGCATACAACCATTGACTGCTATTTAGTTAGGATAATAGCACCAATTTAACAACATATACTTAGTTAAAACCATGAGGCTGTGAAGCTGAAGTTTCATGGCAGGAATAAAATCAAAACATAAATTTTACTTTTATACAGGGGGTGACTAATATAGATTATTAAATGCAAACTTGCTATAATTTTTGTTTTCAATTTAACAAAGCATTTCTCTATTTTAAATTTTCCTCAAACTTTTCAGAAAAGCACTCAAAGGCACAAGCAGTCCTGTAGAAGTTTGAAAAAGCTGCGCAGGCAGTTCACTGCTTTGCTGAATCACACATTTGTATAGACAAAGCCTCCTGTTTGGGATAACATATCGCATCCCTCTGATGCATCACTTATCAGAGGTTTGTAGTGCAGTAACAAAAATTTAAGGCATTCTTTCACCTGTCAAAAGCTGGTGCATTCGCCTCAAAACCCCTTGACATTCTGACACGATGGGATCCCACCTACGACAGGAAGATTATATTAAATTATTTGTCTTTACACATTTGATTAATCATTCTTCAAAGACCTCTTTTGATCCTAAATATGGCTAAAAATTCATCTCACTTTCTAAATGAAATTTCTAAAATTTATTCTGCTTGCTATGGCGTGCATTCTTTTTATAGGCTTTTCTTAAATTCCTCTTCTTTTTTCTAAAAAATACTTTTTTATTTAATATACTTAGTCATATAATCTAATTACTTCTTGTTTTGAGTAAAAGGCATGTAAATGTTTCAGCAGTTGTATTGCAAAATGCTTATATGTCTAGTTTAAAGAACCTAGAGTCACTGTGAGGCATGAGCTTTTCTTAGTCTTGTCTGTAAAAATTGTATCACAGTAGTAGTTGCTGATACAACCCCTCTTTCAAGAAAACTGGGATGAAATTATATTACAGCAACTCTTGATCCATATTGACTTCTTAAAAAGATTTATCCTCAAGAACAATTCAGAAGAAAACAGTCTCTTTGGGTGCCCTTAGATAACCTATTTTAAAATAAGAATTTAAATTAAAACAGAAAAACTCAGAACTTCAAAGAGAAAACTTCTAAAAAGCAACTGACATTCAAATCTTGTGCAAAACAGCATTCAGAGACTCGAGAGTAGCACGCTTGGTGAATTAAACAATAGTACCAACTTGCTGCCAAAGGATAACCTCGTCCTGACAGGTAACTGTGCAGAAGAGCCTAAACGCCACTGTAAGATGTTTAAAAAGACAGGAATAAGAATTATCTGTATAATTAAATCTATCTCCTGCTTACCTGCAGGCCTGGCTGTTCCCAAAATAATGGAACAGATCCTCGAATCTGTATGAAAGACGACACAGAGTCATCTAAAAATATCACCTGTTAAGAAAAAAAATCATAGTATTAATAGGTATTACAGGCTGTAAGGTTTTAGGTTTCTTAGCTCAACATAGAGTAAATAAAATATATTTACATATTGAGTATTCCACACTACAAGCTAAAATGTTAATTGTGTCCCCTAGGCTTTTCTCTCTATCCCCTCTGAACAATTAATAAAAGAAGTTCTGGCACTCTCATGCTTCCTTGCAGAACTGTGATTCACAACATCTAAGAAAATACACCAAGCTTTTATTATTTGGGCCTGAATGACTTTCTGTGGTAAGAGTAATTTGTTTTAAAAAACTTGGTAAGACCTTCCTGTAGGACCAGTTAAAGTGTACACCAACGCACAGAAAATAACAATGCAGCCTACTCAGAACACCTTTACAGATTTTGCGCATCAGAATCCAAAATACAATGGTCTATTAAGTATACAGGAAAGAAAACTTTAAGTGGAATGATACACCACAGTCATCTAGTGACATTAGCCTGCCAGAGAACTTGGACAGAGAAACTGTAACAACAGTGTTCTGACTAAACTCCTGAAATTGGATGTGTACAAGGAGGGCCTTTCCTGGATAAAATCCTGCTGAAGTCACCTAGGCTTTGCAGAGTCAGTGGGTTAACCAAAGATACCTACTCCCGTGAACGCAGTTGTAAGGAACAACATCTTGGTAACCAGATTATCGTAAGAAGCGAGCAAAGAAAGGCCAGCAAAGAATGATTTAATAGCTTCTTGCATTTCTGTATAATAAGGGCAAAGACAGGCAATCAAATGCAGCAGAATTACAGTGGCTTTAAAAACTACCTTTCAGAGGAGCTGTGTTAAGTAACCATAGCAATACTTTTACCTTTCCTGAACCACAAGGCACCATGTATTTGCCAAAAATCTCTTTTGCTTGTTTCTGAGGTCTTTTACTTTACTATGAGCTCAGGCCAAAAGAAGTACACACTCACCTACAGCTCAGGAGGCTAAAAGAAAGTACAGCCACCTACCACATCTTAAGCTACTGAAACTCAGACCCATGCATGCCCTTACCCTAAGCTACACTAAAAACCAAGATCATCAAATTATGTAACCTACTTAGATTCCCTATTTAGCAGCAAAGGAACTATTCCAGTATCTGTTGGATACAGATTTGGACTTGTGATCTGTTGATTTAGGGCAAAAAACTATCCATACACATGCTTATCTTGAGTTCATCAGCCAAGCAATGTGCACTGTAGTGTAATATACCTGCTCTGTTTCAACAAAATTAGCAACGTGACCATCATCGTTTGTTCCCCGGACGTTAAATCTGGTGCCAGCCCGTTCACAGCTTAGTCGTGAAATGAGACAAGCCTTTGCCTGCTTGTGAGCCGCATAAATTGTTCTTATCTCCACTCCTCCACACATGAGACGTAACAACCAGTCATCACAGTTCACACCATAGTGCTTCAGATGTAAATGCAGCGACTGGTTCCTATCGGGGGAAAAAAAAATTAAAATAACTGGAAGGAAATAAAATACAGCTCAAATTATGAAGCCAGCTACTAACTTCTTACATTTTACGCCCACTACTACAAATAAGAAAGGGAAAATATGCATGTTATAGTTTAATGATATAACTCTTGTTTAAACATACTTGAAACAGCAAAGTTTACAAGAGAACAGCATAAACGTTTGCACAATAAGAATATGGGGCAAAGCCATGAATTTTAATGACCTTAAGAAAATAACCCTTATAGCCTCTACTCTTCACCCAGAAAAAAACCCAACACTCCAAGCTTGTTTATATTTCTCCACTCAGCCTTGTTTTGAGAAGCCAAAGATTACAGACTCTGGGAAAAGCAAGCCAGAATTCCAATTACAGGGTTACTTTTTGTGATGGGTAAAGCACCATTCAATTTCACAACACCACAAAATAAAGCTAGAAAAAAATTCGTGTCAACGTACATTGATTATTTCTATTATACGTCACCATAACGCATCACTTGCCCAGAAAGCTTCCAGGAATACATTCATAGCCAACTGATTTTCAAATTTCTGTAAATATCAATTTCAGGGTTAAGTGTTGGTACGTTATATACTGCATATACCATTCTCTAATACCAATTACTGCTCAAATGAAAGATCCAGTTCAGATATATCTGTGCATTAAGTAGTACCAATCAACACTGTAGTGAGTAAATTAGACTAAAGTTTGAGTTTTGTGAGGTTTTTTGTTTTACCTCACTCTAGTGGGGCTTGGCTTTTGATCTTCTTTGGAAACATTCACTTGTATAAAAAGGAAGTAAAGTTTTCTGCATAGCAAAGTCAACTCCAGTAAAATGGCTGGTTTTGTCACTGCCCAGAAAATTCTACCGTAATTGCAAATAACGTATTTGGTATAAAGCTTGAAGCTATTCACTTTAATTTTAGCCTTTGCGTTCTAACCTTCCAATTCAAAAAAACAAAAAAAAAATCCCCCAAAAACCCCTGCAACTTATCCAACACCTCAGCTCAATCATTAATGAAGATTCAAATCCCATGAATCAAGTGTTCATTCACTTTACGGAAAAGTATATAGATGCATTATAATAGGAGACTGAGAAAGCAAACCACATTCTTTCTCTGGGCAATGTGAGACTGGAACTTTTGAATAGAAAAAGTCCAAGAAAGCTTACTGAAGTGCATAAGCAGAATACTTTCTGTTATTGACTTTTACTGTTTACATTTCTAGATCCTGGAATCTGGGACATTCCATCTACCTCCTGCAAGGACTGATTCTTACTGAAAAAAAAGCCAGGTAACTTAAGAAGTTTTGTGACAGGGGTCAAACTCAGCCAAGGTTATTTGGACATGGTGAACAGACATCACCATTTCTCAAGCCTTGAAATACTGACTTAACAACAGAGAGCCCAGTCTTTTTCCCAATGCAGAGAGACAAACAGCTAGGTTCCTATAACTCCTGTAAACCTACATCAAGGTAGATGTATTTCTAGAGCTTATTTTCTGCCTTAATACACATATTTTGTCTTATATAACAATATGATCATATTCCTCTATCTGACCAAAATACTGGCAAAGAGTAGAGTAGCACCAGCACATATGCCAGAGCTGGTGTGGTGTCTTGTAGGTTGGACAGAAGAGGGGGGAAGATGTAGCTTTTCACCTGTTCTAACAGCATACTGCCAAGTCTTCAGGACCTTTCCAAGGTTCATGAACACATACACCATTTTTAACAAAGGCTGAAAATATGGCAGCAGAATTTCTTACATGACAGTATGCATCACTGGCATTATTTAAGCTGCTTATTGGCAGAAACAGCAGTATTCCCTTTACCAAGAATTCCCTGTGTGAAAAGCTATACTTTATTCATAGAATCATAGAAAGCTTTGGGTTGGAAGGGACCTTTAGAGGTCATCTAGCCCAACCCCCCTGCAGTGAGCAGGGACAGCTTTAACCAGATGAGGATGGTCAAATCCCCGTCCAACCTGACCTTGAATGTTTCCAGGGATGGGGCCTCCACTACCTCTCTGGGCAACCTGTTCCAGTGCTTCACCACCCTCATTGTAAAAAATTTCTTCCTTATATCCAGGCTAAATCTATCTTCCTTTAGTTTAAAACCATTACTCCTCGTCCTGTCACAATAGGCATTGCTAAAAAGACTGTCCCCATCTTTCCTATAGGCCCCCTTTAAGTACTGAAAGGCCGCAATAAGGTCTCCCTGCAGCCTTCTCTTCACCAGGCTGCACAACCCCAACTCTCTCAGCCTGGCCTCGTAGGAGAGGTGCTCCAGCCCTCGGATCATTTTTGTGGCCCTCTCAAAAATATTCTGTAAAAAGACAGTGAGTTCAGAAGCCAAGCAACGTGCACTGTATCATAGCCTACCTGCTCTGTTTCAATAAAATCAGCAACATGACAATTACTGCATAATAAAACTTTTAAAGCCCTTTCGTATGTTGGAAACCCACTTGGAAACTATATATAAACACCACACCATTTTAGAATCCAGAATGTTCAACAGATTAAAATTTTCTTTAAAGCTCCATTACCACACTCATTTTAAAAAATTGACACACTTGATGAAGAATTAAGAGACACTGAAGCTGAAACACAACATCATGACAACTGTTCAGATCAAAGTATAATATCATAAGCAGTGAAAATCTGTGTCTTCCAATTAAGAAGCTCCAAGTGGCCATGGAAACGTCTCATTAATAACACACTTATGTCCTTAGAGTTAAAATAATGCTATTCTATCTCATCAGCATTTGTGGGACAAAGGTGTACATTTAAGAGCCAATAAAGACAAGGATAAAAACTTGCCACAGATTAGTTTGTACAGGTATGCGTCATTCTATATAACGTCTGATAAAACGCATTATGAACTCACCAGAAAAACCTATTGTCAGTGGTGTGCTCCTGCATGCTGCGGTGAGCATTGAGACTAAGATCTAAACTGACACCAGTTGCAGACCACGCAAAATAAAAGTTTCCTGAGTTCAAAACTTTGCGCACTTCTGAAATACGATCCTCATCTGTTGAATCAATTCGTAATGATACAAATTCAGTGGAAGTAACTCGAAAAACTTCGGAGTCTTGAATCTTTCCCACAGACATGCATCCTGTTACTAGAACCAGATAATGTAACAATGTGTCTCCTGTAAAACAAGAAAAGGCACAGGTAACAGAATGAATCTTAGTGGAATGTGATGTTGATGTATTTATATGCTTAAATGCACACAATCTGACCCCAGCTTGCCTGAAAAATGTACAAAAAGAACCAACATCAAGAACTCATTCTCAAGTTCTACAGAAGAAAAGGAAATGCAAACAGGAGAAACTATGCTGCAAATAACAGGGATTGTGAAAACGGAAGTTATTTTTGTCCACTCCCTCATTTCTGGGAGTGCTCCAAACTTGTAAGTTACTCTACAAAGACAAAAAAATAAAAAGAAAAAAAGAGCCCAGTTCCTGTTGCAAGGATCCTGTGCTGTGCAGTTTTACAGAAGCGGCACAATTTTCTTTCCCAAACGAAAAATTAAGGTTTTGCATATTCTACTCACCAAGGTTTAATCTTAAAACACCCAAGAGCCCATATGCATCCATTACTTTGGAATAGGTACTCTTGATTGTGTCTTTTTCTGCAGAAGCTATGGAGAGAAAACATAAGATTTTATTATGTAAAAACCATACACTATGGCAAGGAGAATGAGTCTACTCTAAACTGAAAATCCAAGAGATTACAGAAGTAGTGCTTATGTGAAACTTCTGGAAAGAAATCAAAATGTATGAGCATATGGCATTTTATAACGGAAAATGAGTATTTGATTTTATGACAAAGCATGATCACGCTATGTTTTCAGGCAACAAAAAAAGGACTTGCAAAAACTCCACGTGATGTTAAAAGAGAACATTGTCATTTTTAACATCATCTCCTAATATAAAAAGCATCTAAAACACAGGCAAATGAGTTCCATGAGAATGCTCTCCTGTAATTAGTTAAAATTAGAGTAGTGCTAAATGCTGCTGCTTTTCATGAAAAAAATTATCCTTTTTCTCCATGAATAAAAAAATGACGTGGCAGTAATATTTCCAGATAAGTAAACAAGATTATCACAAGTGTATTTTAACTAGTTTTAGATATATTCCAAGCAAATCAAAACTCTCTTAGGTCTACAAGATAATGGTATTTAAAAGCCATGTCTTAGATTAGAAAAACAACATAATTTTCATAGGTATTTGGGGGAAAAAAAAGTTGCAATATTTTAGAAGAAATTAAAGTGTATCTACCATTATTCACCTGGGAGTTAATGTTGGTGTACACTTTAAAACTTTAATCAGCACTTGAAAAACCAGGCCCACAAGCTTGACTGCAGAGCCAAGTGACAGAGACGCTGCAGAGCAGAAACCGGATCCCACCTGTCCTGAGCTTTTGCTCATGGCTGAGACTGCACCTGAAGCACAAAGATTGCCAATTCCAGCTGTGCCACTGGATCCACAGGGATCGAGATTTCTGGGCCACCAAGGATCAGCACCCTTCTCCCTCCTCAGAAATGATCTGCTAATTAATTTTCACTTTGACACTAAAAGAAGTCAGAATTTGACACAAAGAAAACCATAAATCAAAATGCCTGTTGCCCTGGCATTCTGCTGTACTCTCTCTCACATTAGTTGTATTTTCTCTAGTATTGCTGTTGTGAATCTTTCTAATGAGTATTCCCTAAGCTTAGCATAGCCCTGCCTGTGCGCAAGCCTATCCCTTCTGTTCAAATGTCTGCCAGCTCTATTATTAAAGTGGATCAGAAACTCCAATATAAATGAAACAGTTATTTAACCTGAGACTGAAAACTAAGCTCATTCAATGTTTTACTAAGTGCATTTTAAAAAAGCTTAAGTATTTGCACTGATATGCTGTATTCCTGTAACCCAGATGCTAAAGATAAAAGAGTTAAAGCAGCATATTTCCAAAGTCGTCACCCATAACAAGTGTTATTAAGACTTGCAGCCAATCTAAACACATTGTTTACAGACAGCTATTTTGTCAGCATCACCAAACCATGTTTTTCTTAACCAGATCACCATCAGGCTGGAAAGAACAACTTCTAGACTTCAAAACCTGGTTCTTTCAATCCATTTTTTCCAACAAGCATTTAATGATGTCAACACACTCTTCTAAACTCAACTTTCAGTAATCAGAGAACTGCCACGTTCTTTCACGTTTCAAATTATTAATGAAAGATGAGATTTAGTTTCAAACTTTTTGCAGGATTTTTCTTAAAGGTGCCTGCCAGCATTTAATGATATTTCAGAACAATGGCTTTTCTGTATTCTATGGATTTATTCTCTTTTTCCATTGCATAGAACGTCCACTATCCTTGCTAAGCCTTAATAAGTAAATGCCCAAAGTAAATTAAGTAACATGGGCTTTGCAAATTCAGATCACCAAAAAAAGGCCACCACTAATAAAGCAGCAAAGGGTTGCAAAAACAAGCCAAAAAAAAATGGAAATAGAAAAACTTACTGTGGCTAGTCAATTATTATTTTCTTAACAAAGCACCCAAGCACCAACCAAAAGCATTTCATGCCACGTTTTTCAGTTACATTAGATCTAATATAGCGTGAACTCTGAGCAAAGCTTTTCCACGGTGAGCGTGCAAGTATTTCTATCTCGCATTGCCTGCACTTTTCCCATCTTCCTTTTTTTTAAGGCCAAAATTCACATGGGAGAATGGCAAACATCACACACCTCAAAAGGTTCACTTCATCCATCCTGCCCCAGCCCATCCTCACCTACCCCCAGGTTTCTGCCACGGCCTCTGCAGAACCCAAGCCTAGGCGCAAGGTACCTTTAACAGGCCCCGCGGCAGGCAGCCCGGACGCAGAAGAGCTTACCTGCAACATGCTCCTACCACCCTCCCATAAGGCACATCGTGCCTACTACAAGTTACAACTTTATAACATAAATTTGCAAGGCAGATTCCCCTTCCTTGAGGGCACCCGTTTGAACCTCTAGCTGTCAGTGTTCATGAAACCTGAAAGAATTATGAGATTTGGTGATGACTGATACTAGCCAATACAGAAGGATAAAAAAGCGGTTATCACATAAACCTCCTTTTCCTTAAGAAACCGAGCTAAAAAGAAAGCAGTCACAAAAGCAGCACCGATAGCAGAAAAGGGAGCAACTCCACAGCTCCGCACCGCTGCCTCTTCCCTGCCACAGCAGCACCAACCCACGCTATGCAGAGACATTTTGGATGGTTGATGGCGGCAGCGCTCAGGCTGCTTTCGGGGTAATGCATAGTAAGGGACTTCCCATAGTCGGGAGTGCTACAATATTAAGGAAAGGCACGTCTGTTTTCTGAAAACCGAGATGAAATCAGGAACAGGACACAGCTACACCACACTCCTTTCCATTTTCTTCCATTTGAACTGCTGGGACACCATGGGGGCCAGGGCACAGGTAGCAGGGCAGGCTGGGGGCAGCCCCAGCGCAGGACGCCAGGCACCTCCGCGGGGATGAGCTGAGGCCAGGCCAGGATGTCAGTCTATGGGCAAGGGTCAGGCCTGGCGAGGGTAACCGGGGCCAGATACAAGCCCAGGATGGCCAGGCAGCCCTGGGGACAGCAACAGGCCAAGGCTGGGCTGGCACATCAGCCCGGCTCGGCAGGGCCCATGCCCGGGCCAGGCAGGGCTGCGGGGAGCTGGAGACCAGGACTTTGCTGCAGCATCGCTTGGGCAGGGACTGACAGCCCTGAGGGGACTGAAACGGGGTCCTGGGCTGTGGGCAGGGTGGGGGAAGCCCCAGGGGGCTGGGCAGGGACAGTCGGGGCTGGTGGTATCCTCAGGGCCCCGACACGAACAGGCAGCAATGCTATGAAAATATGCAAATGGTTGTACAGCTGGTTTAGACCAAAAGTCCATTTAGCCTCCAAACACTTACAAGAATTTCCTGAGCCAGCACCTCCACCAGCACTAGCCACAAGAATGCCTTTCATTTATGGGTACTACAACAAAAAAAACCCAAACACCCAGGCCAGAGAGTAATCTATTACTGACTGCCACTGCACATGGCATTTCCCATTTCTGAAGATACCAAAATTAAATTTGCAGGTTATCATACCACTCCATACCAAACAGTGTGAATAACAATGTAAGTGCTCTGGAACCATCCAGATTCTCCTCATAAGAATCATATCTAACTCTTCCTTCTTCACCAAAGCAGTAACCTTCATGAAGATCTATGCTCTCCCACTTCATTTAGCATGCAAAGTCACTGGATACAGCTGGATATGCAAGAGCCACTCAAGTTACAAAAATATGTGGCTACGATCCCATCACTATAATACCTTATATTCAGTGTATGCAAAGCCAACTTTCAGTTTCCTCTATGAATAGCTGAAATTACCAACTGGGTGAACTGCAGTTTAGAATTTAAACTGCAGCAAGGCTAAGGTAATCCTGACAGAAGGAGAGAGCATTTCCAAGAGCATTTCCTCATTTCCTCTGTAACATTCTTAATGAATGAGAACACCTCTTCCCAGAATGGTAGGTTGGCCTGCAGCCATGAAAAACCCTTTTGACTTTATGAGCTCCATATCTTGAAAAAAAATGCAGCTAATCTAAATACGCACTCAGAAAAAACATAAAGTCCTACAAATTAATGAACCTACTTCTCCTCGAGAAATTGACTTTTCTATTTATTTATCTTTAAATAGCTGGAAGTAAGCAAACACAATTAAGGCTGTCCAAAAAAATATAAAACACTGTCACTCACTAAGAAGAATGAACTAAGACATGCAACTTCTAAAGACAGAAATTACCAGCTGGAATGATAACTTTCATCCATAACACAGGACTTAACAGATTTTAAATTATACTGTAGAGGAGCACTAAACAGTAGACAATGCAAGCATATGTATGTCTGTGTATAAAGATGGTCACAAAACATATGAGGCAGTATTTCTTCTATTACTTTGTGTCAGTTCAGATGTTAAACAGAAAGGAAATTAAAAGCAGCTTCTTCTTTACCCACTGCATTAATTAGATTCAAGTTGATTAACTTCTAAAATAGAAATAATGACTCACTATTTAGCAGTACAAAAAAAAAAAAAGTAACACTTTTAATGTGGTTTTCAGGTCAAGTTGTAATGCGTTCTTGTAGAAAGCCAGCAAGCCTCATTTACAGTGTCAAGAGAAAAAGAATAAAATAATTTGAAGTCAGTCTTTATCAAAAATTAATAGGCTATAGTATTTTTAAATGTTAACATCTCATTTGTTCCCAGTTAAATCACAAGTGTGCATCTGTAATAATCACACCTTAAAAATCACTGACTCATTTAAGAAAGGTGACTGATTAAATTATTTTAAGGAGATCACTTCAGCCCTCTTACTGTTATGCAAAAGGAACCCCATTAAAAATCCTGTCTTCAGGACAACTTGGTTCAACATGTATTCTGCTTAATTCCAGATTAGAAATTAGTTCTGCAATTTTAACAATTATAAAGCCAAGATCACATTAAAAGTTATCATTTAGGCTGTCTACAGTTATATTGTCTTCTTGGTGGGTTCACAACGTGCCATGATGACACATTGTAAGTTAGTGGCTACAATTCCCATCTAGAACACGGGACACTGAGCTGGGAAGACAGAC